GGGCGGGCGACGATGCCGAACTTCTGCGCTGCCCCCAACTGCACGCGGAAGAGCACTCAGTCGGACCTGGCCTTCTTCAGGTTCCCGCGGGACCCGGCCAGGTGAGCGGCGCGCCGAGCGGGCCGCCGGGCCCACCTCCGCGGGGCGCGCTCCCACAGCCGGCGCCGCGGACTCCGGGGCCGTCGACCCTAGCCCCGGGGCGGGCGGGCGCCCGAGGATCTCGGAGCACGTGCGCCGCGGGGGCTCGGCGCGGAGGGCGCCACCCGAAAGAAGGAGCGAGTGGGGCGGCGCGCGGGCGGGAGCGGGGCGGGGGGCTGGTTCTCGCCCTGTTTAGCGTGCTGTGTGACCTCGGGCAAGACGCTGTCCTCTCTGGGCCTCAGTATCCTCAGCTGTCAAAAGAGGGACTCGGGTTCTTTGATTGTGGTCACCGAGTCGCTTCCCTCTCCTTCCCTCCACCCCCGGGACGGGGTTTCTTTTTGGAGTCCGGCCACCTTCTTTGATCTCAAGTCACAACGACTCCCTCCTTGGGACTTGTTCCTGGTTCAGATTCTGACTCTGACCGTTACTCGTTATCTCGCTCGGTTCTTGTGGGGATAACGGCGCGGTGGGGGGAGGTACGCGTGCGGGCATGGCAATCACTATTGAAACCTCTTCCTTGAGGCAGCCCACACGCTCTGGCTTATGTTTAGAGGGTGGTGGCGTGGGGCCTGCGTTGGAAAGGCTGAGGATATTTCGTAGGCCTGTCGTTGATTCATTCATTTCGCCTCAGTACCTACTATGTGCCGAGCAGTGTTACGCGCCGGGAATTCAAAGGTGAATGAGGCAGTGTCGCTGCCTGCAGAAAGCTACAGTCCATTCTGGAGACAGATCGATAGGCTGGCGATAATGATATAGCACGCTGTTTATTTGTTAGTTCCGCAAAGGTTTATTAAAGGCCTACTGTGTGCAAAGCATTGTTCTGAGCACCGAGAGTGTACAGATGAGCAAATCAAAGACCCTTCTCTCTGGAGTTTACCTTCTAGTGAGGGGGATAGACAAGTAAATATACAGTGAGGCAGACGGTGATGAGTGCTATGCAGAAAGAGCAGATGTTGCGGTAGGGGAATGAGGAGTGGCAGGGGAGGCACAATTGCTACTTTAAACAGGGTGGTGGATGGAGAAGGCCTCACTAAGACGGTGAATTTGAGCAAAGACCAGACGTAGGTGAGGGGGCCAGCCATGGAGATGTCTAGGGGAAGAGCATTGCCAGAGGTGGAAAGTCAACGCAAAGGCGGGGCGTGCTTGTCAGCAGTACAGCCAGAAGTCCCTGGTCTGCTAGAGCTGGTTTAAGGAAGGAGGGAGAGGGAAAAGGTGAGCCCAGAAAGTGCGTGTGTGGCTATGGTAGGGGCACATTGTGTAGGAGGTCACAGACCATGGGAACCGCTGTGGGTTTTTTCTGAGTGGGATACAGAGTCCTGGAAGGGCTGGGAGCAGAGAGGCGTCTACTTTAAATAGGATTACTGGCTGCTTGTTAAATAGATTGTAGGGTAGCAAAGGTGAGAGCAGGAAGTCCGGTTAAAGGCATTTGTGATAATCCAGGTTAGTAGGGGAGCAGGTGGTTAAGTTGTTGCATTTGAGATAGGTTTTGAAGGTGAAGCCACCAGGATTTGTTAACGGTTTAGATGTAGATTGCAAGAAAAAAAGAGAAGTCAAGGATGACTCTAAGATGTTTAGACTGAGCATTTACTGAGCTGTGGAAGACTAGGAGGAGCAGATTTGGTGGAAGAATATTAAAAGTTTGGTTTGGGACGTGAGAGGTTTGAGAGGTCTGATAGGTTCAGGAATAGATGTCTTTCCATACCATATCCAGACGTGAGCTCAGAATGGCCCACATTTACATCAGTGACCTAAATATTTAAGAGCTAAACTGTAAAAAGGTACACAAGTCCGGAGTTTAGAGACTTCTAGATTGGAGATTGTAAGTACGGGTGTTCTTAAAGGCGTTTAAAGCCATAATGCCGAGTAAATAAAGCAGGGTAAGTCCAAGGATTGAGCGCTGGGCTGTTCCTGTGTTTAAATTTCTGGGAGATGAGAAAGGAAAAGCTCTTAGGTTCTCTGGGAGCAGAGAAGAGGAGCATCTTAATCTGACTAGGTCTTACCTCCTTCAGCATTATCTTTACCCAAATTTAATCCCAAGGACATTCTTGGGAGTAAATTTTGCTTATATGCTTATATAGTGGTGCATATTGAGGGCACCACTAGTCAGTTCTGGACCGCAGGTCATTTGTGTCCACATGTAGTGAATATGCTTTTCATTATAGTCTTTAGGGGAAGTATGGCGTATAGGGCCTACAGTCTCAGATCTGGAAGGAGTCTTGAGATCTAGTGCAGTATCCCTTGAAATACTGGGATTCCCTCAATAGTAATGGCTTTTTAACCTTTTTTTGGGTCACTGTCACTTTTGAGAATCTAACATAAGGACCTTTACTTGAGAAACGACGTACTCACAATTTTGCGTTCCACCATCAAGGTATTTATGGACCCTTTAGGGGTCCTGTGTGTTCCTGACAGTTGGCCCTTTGCTGAAACACCTCCACTGATGGTTCTCGGCCTTGTGAGGGGAAACTTGAGGATTTTGGACAGCTTTGGCGTTTGTTTCTTCCTTGTGTAGAGTGGAAATACGCCTCCCTGTAATTTATGCTTCGGAGGTCCTAGTTTTGTCCCCAGGGTCACACTGAGCAAAGCTGTGCCCTTTGCTATGTAAGAACCCTCGGAATATTTCAACACCAAATCACAAACTTTTCTTAACTCTTTTTTTAACCATCTTTATTGAGATATAATTTTACATACCATACAATTCACCCATTTAAAGTGTACAGTTCAACGGTTTTTGGTATATTACATTGTTAATTTTTAAAACTTTGGTAAAATATATATAACAAAATTTACCATTAACCATTTTTAAGAGTATAGTTCCGTGACATTAATTACATTCACAATATTGTGCTACCATCACCATCTATTTCCAAAGCTTTTTTATTACCTTAAGCAAAACCATTAAGCAATAACTCCCTCCCCCCTCTAATCTTCTTTCAGTCTCCGTGAATTAGTCTGTTCTAGGTACTTCATTTAAGTTGAATCATACAATAATTGTCCTTTTATGTTTGGCTTATTTAACGTAATGTCTTTAAGGTCTTAACTTTTTAATCCAGATCCAGTCTCCTCATATGATAGG